AGCTGCAACTAACTGGCCTGCTGTTCCTAGGCCCTGCCATCCAGGCTGGAAAGGTAAGGGATCTTTACATTCTCATCTCCATTTCTAAGCCAAAGAGCCGATGTTGTTTGTAGACACTTCCAAGGTCATGTGGCTGGCATGACTGCATGGAATGCCGTTACCTTCCCACTGGAGTGGTACCTATTGATCTACTCACATTTGCATGTTTTCGAACTGCTAGGTTGGCAGAAGCTGGGGCTAATAGAGAGAGCTCATACCACTTCCCAGATTCGAACATGCAACCTTTTGGTCAGCAGGTTCAGCAGCTCAGTGCTTCAACCCACTGTGCCACAAGGGGCCCTATCTAGAAATAAAGTTTATTATTATTATTATTATTATTATTATTATTATTATTAGGTCAGTGTAGAGTCCCAAATAATGCAGTTTGAGTAGCACTGAACTGCATTATATGGGTTTCCACTGAACATATAATGCAGTTGAAACTACGTTATTGGGCAATGTGAATCCAGCCATAATTTTGGAAGTACACTCAAACACACTACTTGACCACCACCTCCAACAAAGCAAGAAATCCAGTGTTAGAGGATATGCCTTTTTTTGGGAGCTGCCTAGTCTACAGCTGCTAATGTGCTCTTTTCTACTATTGAAAAAATGCATATCTCATATTTAGTTATAATTCCCTTTCTTGTCACATTTGAATCCTACTTTAATAAAAACATAAATAAAACTTTATTTATATCCTGCCCCATCTCCCCTCCCCATGAGAACTCAGGGCAGTTACTTTCTGCCTCAAGAGAAAATAAATGTGTCCCAAGTTTTCATGGACAGACTATCAAAAATGTGAAGATAACAGTTTATCACCTTTTATATTACAATCTTAAAAGGATCTAACTGGGATTAAGTTCCACTGCTTTGCTTGGGACCTTCTTCTGAGTAGACCCCTATAGATTTGTACAGTTAATCATCTCAGCTGGAATCCAGTATGGAAGTCATGTCTTCATAAATTAGCAGGAATTAGTACTGGGCTGTTCTGTGACATCCATATCCAGAATAGGGTTGTCATTAGTTAACATATAGTAGAGATGGCAAAGTGACCATTGTGCTATGGAAATGATACACAATAGGACCGAAGCACTTTTGCGTGTATCCTGATATGCTTCTTCACAAGTCACTAACAGAGTTCCCTAGTGTTTCTGGTTTTTAGTCAAATACAGTAAAAGCCCATATCTGTGGGACTGGTACCAGTTGTTGCTCTCACACAACACACAAACACACACACACACAAAACACTTTCTAGCCCAGTGGTTCTCAACCTGTGGGTCCCCAGGTGTTTTGGCCTACAACTCTCAGAAATCCCAGCCAGTTTACCAGCTGTTAGGATTTCTGGGAGTTGAAGGCCAAAAACATCTGGGCACCTCAGGTTGAGAACCACTGTTCTAACCCCTCCTATTGATTCTATGATATGATTTTGCTGGAGGTTGAACACAGTGTTGTATTGGAAGCAGGGCCGGCCCGTCCATTACTCGAAGTAAGCGGTGGCGGAATACTTTTTTTGCCAGGGGGCGCTGTTCTGTCCTTAGGCCACGCCTCCTCCTGCAGGCCCCATGCGCCCTCAACAGCCTTCTAATGGAGAAGCGCAGGCCCCGCCCACTAGGCGAGAGGGAAGTCCTCCCTCCACGTGCTGCCAGGAGGGAGGCAGCCAGCCAGCCAAGCTCTTTCGCTTTCCCTTTCCTTCCCTGCAGCTGAGCCTGGACCCTCTCAGGGCAGCAAGGAGGCCTGGTCAAAAGGGACTGCAAATGTCATATTTTGTACATGCCTCCCCCAAACCCCTCTAGTATTTGGTAATGGAAGTCCTATATGCCAAGCTTGGTTCAATTCTATTGTTGGTGGAGCTCAGAATGTTCTTTGGTGCTTGGTAAACTGCAATTCCCAAATGTCAGGGTCTATTTTTCCCAACCCCCTCTCCAGTATTTTCTGTTAGTCATGGAAGTCCTGTATGCCAAGTTTGGTTCAGTTCTATTATTGGTGGAGCTCAGAATGCTCTTTGGTGCTTGGTGAAGCATTCTCACCTGATGTTTCACCCACATCTATGGCAGGCATCCTCAAGAGGCTGTGAGGTCTGTTTGTAACTAGGCAAGTGGGGTTTGTATATCTGTGGAATGTCCAGGGTGGGAAAAAGAACTCATGTCTGCTTGAGGTAAGTGTGAATGTTGCAATTGGTCATCTTGATGAGGATTTAATGGCCTTGCAGCTTCGAAGCCGAGCTAGTTGCTGCCCAGGAATCCTTTGTTGGGAGCGGTTAACTGGCCCTGATTGCTTCATGTCAGGAATTCCCCCCTTTTTTAGTGTTGCTCTTTATTTATTGTTCTGATTTTAGAGGGTACTGGTAGCCAGATTTTGTTCCTCTGAGGTTGCCTGCCATAGATGTGGGTAAAACATCAGGAAAGAATGCTTCTGTAACATGGCCATAGAGCCCAGAAAACTCACAGCAACTCAGTGATTCTGGCCATGAAAGCCTTCCACAACACATTATTATGTTTATTTATACCCTGCTTTTTCTCTCCCCAAGAAGACTCAAGTTGGCTTAGATTAAAAACATTTCAGTACAGTCTAAAATCCACAAATATGCAAACATTAAAATGGAATTAAATATCATTGGTATTTTAAAAATTCAGTTAAAATCCATAAAAAACATATCCAAAACTAAAAACTGCAGCAGACCCTGACTTGATCTTTAAAACCTTTTAAAGCCTGCATTAGATTACCAAATGTAATGTCCCTTTATACACACTGC